GGAGGCCGCATCGGCAGCGCCACTGAAGGCATCATCTAGGGTCGAAGCGGATGTGCGACCATGGGAGAAATTGGAGGCATCGCCTAAGCGGATTAATTGCATTGCAACGTCCTCGTCAGATATGCAGCTGGCAATAGTAGGGTCTGGGGTTGGAAGAATGCCAGACCCGGCACCATTGCCTGCTGGGTTACTGAACTGCCCTGATGACTGGGTTGTAGTCCGCTCACGTAAGCGGTGTCCATGTTCCGGCACCACTGGAGTAGCATAGATATTATTCCGCATAGAATTGTACCCGTATATCTGGTCGTTATGTCCATAGCTTTGCGGCGAGGGTAATGGTTGTTGATAGCTGTATGGGCGTTGGGTGGGGCGTGCGAATGGAGAGATAGCACCTTCTTGGCCGATGGATCGACGTTGAGGGGAGATCGACGAGGTAGAGGTAGTGAGAGGGACCTGTGGAGGAACGAATAATGGCAGTTCCTTCATAACAAAGGAAAAAACAAGGTTAGTACAATGTTAATTGGTTGACGATATGTCAACCGGGACAAACTAACCGAACTCTCAAACTTGGGCCGCTTGCGGCGGCCATCTTGGAGGATATTGTCCATACTAATATCCGAGCTGCCCAGCTGTTCACTACGGGATTTCTTGCCACCCGATACAGATCCATATCCACCCTCACTGTCACTGTAGAGAGAGGCTCCGTCGTCATGGAAGCTACCATGTGTGCTGGAGCCCCTGCTCTTGTTGCCCGTTCGGGAGAGCTGCTTGTGCTGCGAAGCGCTACGACGGCTTCTTCCAGACGGTGACATACTGCGCTTCCGAGCGAGTCTAGAACCCGGCCGAGAAGGGGGCTGTCCATGATCTGGGATCTGCGCCGACTGCATTGCGGGCGCCATTTGGAAAGGCTCGCCAAGACTCGGGCGTTTGCGAGCCTCAACCGGCATATGTCCAAAATAACGGTCCCCGTAGCCTTCTGTGTATTCTTGGACGGGGATTACCCGCACATATACCGTCATGTTATTTCTTAAGTTCTCATACCTAGCAATAAGTGTGGTGCCGTGCTCATCCTCAAAACTGACGCCGCTCGCAGCGCCATCGTAAATCCCATAGAAATTCTTGACAGTAGTCACAATCGAGTCCGTGGTGTCATGGGGATATATTTGTACTCGCATAGGGATGCGAGCCCGAACCTTGGAATTCTCATCGAGCAAGAGCTCGAAGGCAACATTCTTGGGGATAGGGCTCTTGCGGGGGGACTCCTGGGGCGCATGATCTGTCCAGATGGGCGACTCGCCAGGAGCAGGATGCCGTTCGTACTGGACAGCCTGCATGATGGAATAGTCCAGGATGAGAGGCTACCACAATTCTGCTACATCAATGATTCGATTAATCGAATGTTCGAATAGGGTGCGAAAGTGGACCCGACGGCGAGGGTGGGGAAGAGGCAAGAGGCAGAGAGGGCGGCCAGGAGGGAGGGAGGGTATGGGCAAAATCCATCCAAACCTACCACAACAAGGAGACCAGAGAGGGTTGGTTGATAGATGGATCACCCGCGATTAATCTACGAGAGTGATAGATGGGGGAGGTTGTGGATGGGATGAGGGCACCCCAAGTCGCAACAGCCGAGAGCGACTGATGAGGGAAGAAAAAACCGTTGAAAACCTAGGCGACAACCACCACCACCAGTTAGCACAGTATTCTATTAAAAGGTTCCAATGGATCCGAAGAGGCTATAAAAGGATTGTAGAACGGAGATGAGATGCCCCAACCTTCCCCGTTGAGGCTTGATGGCTTGTAGAACTGAGGTTCTGCAAAGACCTGAATCACCCGGAAGAAGATGGAGAAGATTAAAGACTCACCTATCGCAGATCCAACCGTTTCATCCAGCGTCGCACCCGTCGTATTGATCCAAAACCTAAAGGGAGGAGGATTGGCGATGTCGATGGTCGAGGTCGCAGCGGTAATGAGGGAATGTGTCTGTGAGAGTCGTCTAGGAAGCGCTTGGGCTATGTCAGCGGTGGCATCACAGCAGTCGATCACAACCCAACGGAGTTTCAGGGGAGATCAGTTGCGAGCGAATCCCACAAAGGGAAATAGACAATTCAGAAATAGGGAGAAAAACTAACCGAGACGATTTGGATAGAAAATGAAGGGAAACTGGAGGGGATTTTGGGACAGGAAGAATAGGTTGGGTCGACGAGAGCAGGTTGAGGAGAGGGAAGAGGAGGAGAGCGAGTGAGTGGGTGCAGATCACTGAATGGGTTTCACCTCACAAGTCACTCACTCCGTCTGCAGTCGGTGACAAGAAGTAATACTACTCCAACCATGGCCTTACCATTTCCCAATACAGAACCAAATCCCCCTTTATAAAAATGCATTAAAGCCCATAATTCATTTACATACATATCGCTTCCTCCCCCGACTTGATTTGGTGGATTTACCGTCCTCCTATTCATTTGTCGCATTTGCGCTTCCTCTGTCGCATTTACCGAAACCAATCGCATTTGTTACCAAGGCTAATATCAAACTCTCCCCCGACCACAATGAGGTCAAGACCGGCCAATTTACATGATTTTGAGTCGCTAGCTGTCCTGGTCAATTTATACCTGGTTAATGTTTCTCTACGATTCCGTGACCACCAGTTTTAATGGGTTGTGTCGCTTGTCACGAGCTGTTCCAATGCGACCAACTCATGGCTATTGTACGCCTCGACCGACCTTTGGCGCAGAAACGAGGAAAAGCAAAAATAAGGCAGAAATTCAAAGCCAGGGCGACGAACGTACAATGTTTTTTTTTTTTTTTTTGTTTGGCATGGTACTTTTTTATTTTTAAACAGTATCGTTTGCCCTTGTGCTTGATGTACTGCCCATATCCCTCTCCTTTTTTCCAACCATTCCGGTCGGACCAAAAAGACAAAACAGAACGTACAGGAAGTGGCGTAATTTGGCACATCCTCAGCGCGGCCACGTCGAGTGACCCCCAGATCACATCCCAACCAACTATTGAGGAGAACGAGGGTCCATTCCGTCATGATCCTCCCCTAGTGGCCATCTAAAAAGACCCGACCCAGACAGGTCCCGGCTGGATAGGATAAAAGCGACAGCTACAGCTTCAAGAATGTGAACGCTAGATTGTTATTTTCGGGAAGAACTAGAACTGGCGACCAAGATAGATTGATATCACTTGAGTCGGTCGCACGATTTCTAGAGAAACTACAACTTAATTCCGTCCCATTTCATCCAACGGCGGAAATAAACGTTGGCGCTTCGGCCAACGAATTGCGAGTGGATGGTCGAGTCTGAAAGGATGGAGCAAAGAAAAGAAGGGTCGCATGCTTTCTACAAATTGATTGTCGCATGCGACAAAGACACAACGGCCGAGCGGGCGACAGCGCCCAATTGTTGCCTCGTTTCATGATCTGCGCCTGTCCAGACTGAGTCGTAGTCATCGTTGTTCTTTTACCCCTCCCTCCTCGGGAACGGTGGACTACGTTAGTTCGATGCCTACTCCGTTAGGATGGATCCCCGTTCGCCTGTTGGGCGCAGATGACAAACGGTCATCGGCGGGGATCGCAAGCTGGAGCTCTCATAACTACTATCTCTGCTAATTTTCAACATGCGCTCTTGCTGCGACATCATCTTGTCAAGGTCCTCATTTCCCACACCCCAAAGGGTGGGCGTCCGTAGACAGCGGTAGATACCTAGTCAGTTATTTTCATGTCGCATTGGGGAAAGAAAACGAAAAATGACGAGAAGAAAGACGTGGAGAGATAGCCCTTGCGCAAAGGTAACCAAACGACAGGGCAGCTGGCGCAAAGATGCCGTTCGCGCAGTATTAATTGGACGAGTCCGTTTGAATGACCCGACGGAGGACAGACTCCATACATAAGTAATATCTGCCTCTCAGATCACATTATCACCGTACGTATTGTATGTACATACATATACCTACATCAAGTAGTCCACTACGGAGTAGAACTAAGTCACTATTATCAATTAAGACGGAAAAAAGAGAGGCAAAGGGAAGAACAGGATTCGACACGAAATCCCAGCAATCATTGGGAATCAAAAGCGGGGCCAATTTGCCAGCCCATCATTTGATTTAAATAGCACTATTGACCCAGACCGGTGGTAGTTGTCAGCGTATGGATGGTAGATGCACACCGAAAGTTTGGGTAATTCAATGACCACTTGGCACGGTTCCCACAGTTTTACCGACTGCGCATGAAGAATGAAAATGTTGAATTAGAAAAATGTTGGAAGCGAAGGTACATTGATATAAAACAGTCGATTCTCCTCAGCCGGAAGAACGCAAGGATGTGTGCGGACTCATCTGATTCCTTCTTAATTGTTCTGTCGCTCCGCCCAGTGGGCTATTGTGGATGTCTATTTTGAAGACAAGGCAAAGCTACGAATCCCGCGGCTTCATGATAGGTACCGCCGGATCCGCGTCCCACATTGGAGGCCAGCGGTGGCTTTTTTTTTCGGCGATACGGGTGCGAACGGGGAATGGAAGAACCTAGTCGGTTTGGTGGCCAAAGCAAAGAAGAGAAGTCTCAATCTTTGAACTTCGTAACCACCAGAACTAACCATTCTTGATTGTCTGTATTCGATAAAAGACCGGTTCCTTCCGGTGGGGATTCATCACCCAGATGCGAAGTTGCTCAGATCTTGCGATTCCAGGCAAAGTGGAGTGACTATTCGAAAGCCACTTATGAGATGACTATCGATAGTCTAAGAGAAAACTGACGAATATCAAAGCGCTGTAGGTAGACCAGTCGATTCCTCCCACTGACTACCAAAAGCATCGAACGCCTTGCTAAACCGGTGGGTGATGGCGGGTCTTCTGAGTCACGTGCTCTCGCGTTTAATAGGGTTCCAATTCGTGTTTCCCGGCGCGTCCAAAGTGCGGTGAAGCGATATCGCCTACATCAAGCCATTTGAGGTCTTTTCAGCTAGAAGAATAAATAGAATAGGATCGCATGGCCTCATAGCATACGCAAATCATTTTTCAGTTATTTATGCATTAGGTTTGGAGTCACTTTGGCTGTCGATGCAAAAGTAAGTGCCGATGGGAAGACGCGATCAGTGATGTCATGGGCCCTGGGAGACACAAACCATGCAAACACCAAGATGACATAAGCATACCACAGCAACCCTGGAAACGGAATAGCGTGACTGTTGTTGACGGTAACCAAGTAAGGCAGTAACCGCTGCCAGGCAGTGGATGATGGGGTTCCCGTCGTTCCCTAGAGACGATGGTATTGTTTGTTCGTCGCTCTCATTCTTTTCGGCAACAACACGAGTTCCTTCTCCTCTCTCCTGCGACAAATTTAGATGCTGCGGTGGGCATCCTTCTTCGTTTCTTTTTTAATTTTAGGTGTGGCGGATTCAAGATCTCTTGACCAAATTTTTCCTGGTCCGTACTGTCGCAACTGCTTTAGCGCGGTTGGTTGTTTGTTTAGGGTGGTTTTAGTATAACTTAGCTGCTGTTCCTTCAACCCCTTCGCAGCGAATAGGTAAACAACCATCCGGGTGTCTCCCCAAAACATCAACATCAACAGTCTGGTGAAGACTTCAAAGTCTTCTTGTGATCCAAAATGGATGCAAAGGTGTGTTTACCACAATTTCTTTCTTCGCTTGTAGTCATCGTCTATCAAGCTTGTCGGAAGATGTCCCTCTGCGTCCATGTTTACAAACCTTGACGCGCTTGGTGTTTTCCTTCCTGTATCTACATTTTGGCGTCGCATACACCTCTGAGATCATATACTGACACGCAATTGATTGTAGCCCCAGCGAATTCGCGTCCGTGGGGACGAGAATGCTGCCTTCCCTCTCACTAGCAAAACGGTTCATCAGAAAAACAAGTCGACTCCCGCCTTGTCCACTATGTTCCAAAGTGGCGCGACGAAGAATGGGCCAAGAAGAGCTGCTTTTGGAGACGTCAGCAATACGATGAAAACTGTCCAAAGCATTCGGGATGACATCTCTGTTGCAGCCAAGAAACAGACCAAGCCATTGGAGAAGCCTTCCGTGCAGGTCACGGAAAGGAAATCCTCTGTCTTAGCCCAACCTGCCCAGCGCCCAATGTCAGCAGCGGGAGTCAAAGGCCTATTGAGCAATGCGGCGACTTCCAAACCCCTGGAGCCCGTCGGAAAGTCGATCGGCGTGCCACAGCATACCGCCAACGCCCGAAAGGCCCTGAACAAGCGAGGAACGGTCTTCAAAGATCACATGGAACCATTGACGGAAAAACGCGAACTTACATCCAAGGAAACAACTAAAATTAAGGAAGGGATTACTGGGGGCCAACTCGCGCATTCGTCTACGGCGCCTTCGCAGCTCAGCAGCCTGAAGGAAAAGGACGTTGTCAATGAGGGATCAAATGATGAGTTGGAGAACCATGATGAACATTCCATTGTCAGCTCTGAAGTCGATGGAGAGGAGAAGGACGCACCTAAGATCGACGAGGATGTTTGTAAGGTCCAGGGTATCAAGGAACTCAGGGAAGCCTCCGAACCCGGTACGGCAACGGATGCCGACGGCTCAGACCACGCTGTGAAGCCACCACGTGTATCTGCTCCTGGCGCACATATGCCTCATGAACATGTGCCCGCCCACTCGGAGCCGGAAGAGTCCTGGGACGACGAGGATGACGAAAATGAAGAGGATGAGTATATTACTGCTCGCTCCTATCGATCCCGTGGTGAAAACACGACCGGCGCGACTACTACAATACTCTTTCCGAAATATACGCAGCAAGTGAGACGGGAACTGGCTCTGGCAAAACAAATCGTCGAGGCAACACGGACAGTGGACGATATTGAAGATGAATATTGGGATACGAGCATGGTCGCGGACTATAGTGAAGATATATTCGATTATATGCGGGAACAGGAGGTGTGTTATCATGGATCTTGAAGGATGCTCGAGGATAATCGCTAACTGCACCTAGATCAAAATGCTGCCAAACGCGCACTATATGGACAACCAAGCGGAAATCCAATGGTCTATGCGGTCCGTCCTGATGGACTGGCTTGTGCAGGTCCACCATCGGTTCTCTCTGCTTCCCGAGACACTTTTCTTGTGTGTCAACTATATCGACCGCTTCCTGTCCTGCAAGATAGTCTCCCTGGGCAAATTGCAGCTTGTTGGTGCTACCGCAATCTTCATTGCTGCCAAGTACGAAGAGATAAACTGTCCTTCCGTGCAAGAGATTGTTTATATGGTCGACGGAGGCTACACAGCCGATGAGATCCTCAAGGCGGAACGCTTCATGCTCACTATGTTGCAGTTCGAGCTTGGATGGCCTGGTCCCATGAGCTTTCTACGGAAGATTAGCAAAGCTGATGACTACGACCTTGAGACCCGGACACTGGCGAAGTATTTCTTGGAGATTACCATCATGGATGAACGTTTCGTCGGATGCCCACCAAGCTTCACAGCTGCTGGCGCTCATTGCCTCGCAAGGATGATGTTGAGAAAAGGGAATTGGGTAAGTTTACAGACACATGTTGGTCGTGCGTACCTCCGCTAACAGTGGGACAGACACCTGCCCATGTCCATTACGCGGGATACACCTATTCACAGCTTTACCCGCTTATTTCTCTCATGGTGGAATGCTGCGAGATCCCTCGCAAGCACCATGCGGCCATTTATGAAAAATACACTGACAAACGGTTCAAGCGTGCTTCGCTTTTTGTCGAGGCTGAAATGAGAAAAGGGTTCCATCTTCCTGAGATCACTCGGGAAAAGAGTCTTTGCAATCCACCATCTCTTGACGCCGGGCATCAGTGGAAGCGCGCATAACTGCCACTCTGTCTTTTAGCAATTCCCGTCAAGGATGTCTAGGGGGTCTGGCATTTCACAGCACGATTACTTGACATGCATACTTGAGTATTGATTGATGAACATGAAAAGAAAACATTAAAAAAAGGAAACAAAACAGCCAGACAAGAAAAACAAGGGGAAATGAGAGAAAAACGAGGCGCGAGTGAGGCACAGGTGACTTGCTGCTTTGCCAATACACTCTTATCATGACACTTTCTTTTGTCGCACGACTGTATGCCATTTTATGATATAAGTCGTGAATATGCATTCCTCCATGCCATGCCTTTCATGCACATTTGGGTCTTTAGAACACGGAGATATGTTTCGACGGACAGGGAATCGGATATCAATGGGTGGAGTTTTGCTTCTTTTTTTTTTCCGGGATCAGGAGTTTCAATGGGTCGATGGTTTCTCTTATTCCCTTTCTTAATTAATCTGCACCCTTTTTATTTCCTTTGTTACATGCCCCCTCCCGTTCCAGGGACTTCATGAAAATGCCCCCAGCATTAATGTCTCTTATTCCTTTTGTTCCTTTTTGGACTTCCGCTCTTCTTTTCTCCATCCTCTCTTATTCTCTGTGATTATCGTCCAGGCTTAGTACACAGGAACTAGTCAATTGGATCTATCTCTTCGATTCTTTATTATTCAGAAATCCTATTGCAATAACTTGGCGCAACGCGTTCCGCGTTAAGAATATCAACAACCTGCCGGCCCGATCCAGTCAACCTAGAGTGTCACGGATAAGATACTATGTATATCGATCATAATATAGGCGTACATATGAAATGGTGGCCGAGCAGAATTGGTAGTATTGGAACGGGATAATTTAGCTAGGACTAGAAGTTATTCAATGAATTCCTATATCGCCTACCTAGAAGAAGCCCTTCTACAGTACTAATATATAAGCCTGGAACTAGGTTCTAACAAGATGACGCTCGAGTCTATATTCCAGCAAGCTCAAGCGTGATTTCAAAATTATAGTATCTTGATTTTAGACTAGCAGTCCCATTCGCCTAATTTGAATCTCTAAGACCTGCTTAGAAAGGGGTAAATTAAGCTCTTTCTAAATAGGATATTGAAAATTGGATATCAAGCACTTTAACTATTGTATTTAAGCCATATAGGGTATACTTAATCAAAATATTATAAATCGACTAGTTCTGTTCTAGTCGCGTACTTTCCCCTTTTTAACAATATGTACAGAGTATTGATCTTCAAGATCTTATTACCACAAGGAGTGAGCCTAAGGGGACGCTTGATTGACCATAAACTGTTTTCAAGACTACTTTTTGCATAAACCTACCCGTTGAGCACTGTCAGTTGCCCGTAAACATGAACTGCTTATCCATGAGTGACCTATGCAACTATCTCCGCTCTGAGCACCTGGCGCACCTCAGCTATTGGCCGTTATTACCGGATACAGATTAGCGTATCGATTTCCAACCCCGCCCCGCATCGGTCTAGTCGCGCGCCTAATTTTTTTCTGCCAAGCCTACGGTCTTCATCGTCAAAAGTGAATATCTACATATTCACTTTTCGAGAGAAGGCTCCCACACACCTTCTGTCTGAAACGCTCGTTCTCTCCTTTTCTCATAGCCTCGCATATCGAATTTTACTCCCACGCACACTACCAAGTTCCTCCCTCACCGCGCCAATTAACGACCTATCGCTACGAAAATTTCAAGTCAATGACTTCTTGAACTATCGACCCCTCTATCTCCTACTTTCTTCTCTCCGCCTAAAAAGTACACACACACACACACACACACACAAGCTCTGAACACACAACCGGTCACCTACCATGCCCCCCAAAGCCGCTCCCCGCCGAGGCGCATCCACCGCCGCGGCAAACCGGCGAACGAATGCCTCAGAACCCAGCTCGAACTCCGCAACGCCTACACCCGCCGACAATGCCAGCGCCGGACCTTCAGCCAGCAGACCTCCCGTTCAGCGACTGCAATCTTTGAAGAAACGCACCCCGTCCGGTAGCATCGGGCCTGCCGCGAAAACGCCCGCTCCGGGCGGGCCTGGCGAGCCAGCCAAGCCTACGTTGAAGTACAAACCGCGTGCGGTCGGGCGTCGTAGTAAAGAGGAACGAGAGGCGATTGAGAAACTCGAGGCAGAGCGGCACCGTGAGAGATTGGCGGAAGCGGCAGCTATCCAGCGCGGACGGGGAAATCATGGACCTGGTGGTCGGGGCGGGTTTGGACGAGGTCGCGGAGGACAGTTTGGGGCTGCCAGTGGGCCTCTGGGGTCTATGCAAGGCCGGCGGGGTCGGGGTGGTGGTCCGGGTGGGTTTGGATCGAGATTCAATGATTCCAGGGCGTCGTCTATGTCGCGGCGGAGTCGGTCGGTTATTGATGTTGGAAGTGGGGCGGTTAGTCGGGATGTGTCGTCTGATGAGAGTGACAATGAGATTCGGGTCAGCATTGATCATATCAATCTGGACAGTGATGATGAGGAGGCGGAGCAGGTGCTGGATAAGAAGAAGGGAAAACTTGCGATGAAGAATGCGGATGCTTCTGGGGAGAGGGGTCTACGGCCCATTCGTGTGGAGAGACATGAGCATGAGGAGCGGGTGGTCAGTGTCAACATGGAGTCTAGCTCGAGTAAGTCTGCCGAGCTTCGCCAAGAAGCGCAGGCTAAGGCTGCGGAGGATGATGCTCTATTTGTGCCGGATGATGATGGTTCGGCTGGTTCGGCTACGGAGACCGAGACCGGGCCCCGGGTGAAACAAGAGCCTACGGATGATGACCACGCTATGGCGGATGTCGCTCACCATGCGGATGAAGGACTGACCACCGATGATGGATTACTGCCGGAGCAAAAGGTGAAGGTCCGTCGGAAGATCTCTCGGGAGCCGCCCGCCGTCAAGGATCCCAAGAGTTTACTACGCACTAAGGAAGATATAGAAGAATACGAGAGACATGAGCAAGACCTTGCGATGGTGAAGGATCTTTTTACAAAGGAAGAAAAACCACCCGCCGAAGAGCCGAAAGAGACACAGCCCGAACAAGTTGAGTCTTCGGCGGAGGATACTGAGACGGCGGCGGCGGACGGGGCGGAGAAGGACAAAGACAAGGAAAAGGAATCGGAAGAGGAAGAGGAAGAAGATGAGTCGGCCAAGGACAAACTGTCCGGTCAACTATTCCTGATGCAATTCCCACCCATGACACCCAATCTTGTGCCAGAAAATGGCGGTGATAATTCTGCCACAGCATCTATAGAAGCTCCGGGTCAGGGTACGCCCCAGGGTACAGCTAGTAACAACGGTAATGTGCCACAGCCGACGGGAGTCAAACGCGAAGACGGGGTGGAGATTCTCGATGAAGCGGATGAATTCCAACCCACGGAGCCTTCTAAAGTGGTCACAGCTACGGATTGGCAGCTTAGAGCTGGACGCGTAGGCAAGTTGAATGTCCATGCCTCCGGGAGAATGACGATGGACTGGGGTGGTATCAGCTTTGAACTGGATCGAGCCACCGCCGTTGATTTCCTCCAAGAAGCATTGATCGTATCGGGGGCAGCCGATCCAGCTGAAGGGGGAGTTCCGGAAGAGGAAAACAGAGTATGGGCTATGGGACAGCTCAGCGGCAAGTTCACTGTGACGCCTGATTGGGAGAAGATGCTATGAAGCGGGAAGGGCAAGCGGCAACATTAAAACCCTAATAGACGTCGAGTCATGAAGCGTGGTCTCAGTATCCGCCCGCTATGCAGGAAGGCAGCCACCCGACACTCTACGACTGTGGCGTATCAGTTGATTGATCTCTGGATCTGCATCTGTATTCCAATGTATCTAGAAATAGCGGCCAACGAGATTCACGAGGCTGACGAATCATGTGGCGGGACAAGACCTGACACACACGAATGCTGTACTCTCTACGTACCGTACATACCGATGTGAACTTCAGGACGAGTTGATGATGTGCAATGCGGCGATGAAGGTGCACAATAAGCTCCACGGTTTGACCTCGGGACATTCCTATAATTAGTACAGGGATGTGTGGACGACGAAGAAAGTGGGAGTTCATTGGTAGAGAGATGATCTGTATGTAAGTGTATGTAAGATGAATGTTATGTTATTCCGATATATCAAAACAAAGCGTAACATATTTTTTAACTGTTGGATTGAATGCACCACGTCATGGGGTGTCGTCTCCTTTTGCTTACCTGCTTATTTTTTTTATTTCTTTTTCTTTTTCTTTTTCTTTTTAATCATTTTTTTCCCCATAATATTGTTGGTTTCTTACCTTATCTCTGATTTTATGCAAGAATCCCGTTAGCTACGACCTTGGCCGGTACGGCTTGCGATAAGAGTCCCGTGCTAAATTGGAGGAAAACAATCAAACAGGAAATTAAATCAACCTCGCGTGGAGCCTTCAGGCACCCTCACTGGCCACAGAGGGGTCAGCCATGGTACTAACTGGGGAAAGTCCGATGGCGATTGTTACAAGGGTCATCTTGGAGGTCCACCACCATGGATTGGCTTCGAAACCCTGACAAGCTTCTGTGAGTGGCACGAGACATCGATCGACTCGCGCTAGTGCTAGCCCGTGCTGACGCGGCTGGTAAATATCCAATCATATCTCCCCTAATAGACGCAGAGGCGGGTCTGAGGGTGGGGCCGTGCCTGTTAGTCGAACAGAGGAAGCCAAACACTAACAGGAAATAAACTAATTTCCAGGGCCAAACGGGGGTCGGTGGGCGTCTGGCCGGGTTTTCTTCTCCCTTCAACTGCTTCTCATTTCTCCATCTCTGCGCTGCTTGTTTTTCTTCTTCTTCCTGTTTCCCCCTCGTCGTGTCGTCGTGGTTGCTGTTCTGTATTGCTGGGTGCTGCTTCCGTTCTCTGCATTCTGATTGTTACTATCGTTACCCTTCATCTCCTGAAACGTGTCTCGGGACTCCCCTGAAGGAGTCTCTCGCTTGACAGCCTCGTTTCCCCCTGACATCCCCTCGGTCCCTGTTGCGACGCGACCCGACACCAGGCTTCCTCGAGGTTAGATCATTGTTACCGATATACTTGCTCTAGTCACGAACTGTCGTTACCGTTCATTTCCCTTCTCCGTCCGATCAGTGGACCCTCCGAGACGATCTCTTGTAGAGTCCCGTATTGTCGTCGCAAATCGCTTAGACCATATCCAACATGAAGACATCAAATATTCTTCTGTGCTTGGTGCCTGTAGTAGCACTCGCCGCTGAGGCTGATCAGGCACCAGCCGCTGTCGCGCCCAGCCCTTCGCTACCGAACATTACGCCTCCGGTCCCGTTGCCAAATATTCAAAACCCTCAAAGCGGAGAAGACGAGTCGAAGTTACCATTGGAAGCACGTCAAATGGTCCAAATCGCCAATGCTGGTGCGGCCAAGCCCCCGGCTGCCGCGACCACGGAAGAAATTCTCACAACAACCGTTATGGATCAATGGCCGGAACCCTCTAGTGGATCAATTGGGTTGGGAACACTGACCGCATCAGCGGGGGTAACGAAGTCGCTGCGCGCGCGGAGTGAAGGCACTCTTGGCCAAACACCATGGATAGGAATGGCTATCGGGTTGACATGCACAGCGCTTGCAGCAGTGATGCTCGGGTGATTGCCGCGCCATCAAACCTCTGGGCTCGAGGTTTTGAGCCCTTCTCTCCAAGTTCTCATAGTTGGCCTATCGGATGACCAACGACCATCGCATTTCATCCCCCATTGTGTGGGGCCTTGCATAAGGAGTTCGTCTTTTCTTTTTAATCTTCTTCTACGATCTGGCGACCTATGTGGTTGCTCATTGCTACGAGCGTATTTGCATTCATGCATCCGACAGCAGAGAGCCCTATAATACTCTGTGGATAGTATCTGGGATCTGCTGTTAGTGTTTTATACCTTCTTCCCCTTGTGTGCTGCATTGTTCTTGGCTGCACTTGCATTCATACCCGACTGTTGTATAGACTGGGTTTGCTACGCTTTTTCTACGTGTACATGATACCTTTTTCTTTGGAATTTTTTGCTCCGGTCTTGGTATACTCGAATTTAGTCGACGATGTATCTACTATGCATGATGATTCAATCAATCAATCAATCAATATATACATTATTATTATTATTACTATTATTGAAGGATGTCTTATTGCTTCTCTTTTACCTTATTATTCATTCATTATGTTTATTTTTTTTGGTGCTCACGACGACAGAACTTCGGATAGCCAATAGAATCAAAGGTCCGACGTCTCACGCCTTTGTTCCGAGTCTTTGGGCGCCAACAAACAACATGCGGGCAACACGAAGCCTCCCCGGGCAAACAAAGATCGACCCTGTAGTCGCATGCGACTTGGCAGGCTGACAGCATGAACTTAAATGTCCCCCACCCTCTCCCTGGTCTATCATTCGATTCATTCATGGATTCCTTGGGGTGTGTATTGGAATCTTGTTGACTTCATCTTCTTGGTATAGTTACTCTCATCTCGCGCCAGCCGTCTCTAGGCTCAAGAAAGTGACAAGAGCCGCGGGAGGCGAAGAAAGATGCACAATGATGACGAGAGACCGAAGAACATCCCACCCTTCACGCCGATGTCCTCGCTCGGCCACGAGTTGGGTGTTATGTTCGCCTTTCTTGCGGCCTGTTTCGTGATTATGGGTTTGTATGTCTTCTTTTGGCGAGGTAAACTTCTCACGTTCGATCTAATACATGTTACTTGGATTAATGACCTGTCCGACAGCGTTCGAACGCCGGGAGGCACAAAGAGAAAAGGCCCGCAAAGAGCGGTTTACGAGGAGAGACGTCCACCATGGGCGCAGCGGCATCCCCGAGAAAATACATGATAATCGGAGAGTCGAGTTACCGGCGAACAGCAGATATGAACTCCCAAATGGGTATGAGAATGGAGAGAGATCGACAAACATGAAGATGGGTTCAGCTGGTGCTCGGGTGAATCGAGCGGATGGCTGGATGGAGATGGATATTCTGGGTGCGCCGCGGAGGTGACAATTCCGTTTTGGATTAATCCACACTCTTGTGACATGTTCTTTGCTTGGCCATCTGTTCTTTTGTGTATCTTCAGGGGGGCGTTGGGCTTTTTTGGGGTTGCTGGCCTACGGTAATATACCGTTCTCCTGAGATAGCCGGATATGTGTCTGTCGCTGACCGCTAGTTTTTGATAATAAGGCAAGTCAAAGGCGAGCGTTATTGCCTTTGAGCTATCAATCGTTTTGGCGTCTATTCTATATTCAGGCCGTTGGGATACTCCAGCCTTCCACCCCTGGAGCCCAGCGATGTTTACTAAGGGTTGGGTGGCTGGGATGGGTGAATCTCTCCGTATTTACTAAATGGACCGTAATGCATTTGAGCCACTTTAGGCTTGTTGATCTGCCGTTGATTGGGTGGGTTCAGGAAGGGATTTCCCAATTAAAAAGCCGTTCGCTATATAGATCACTCACAGTGTTTATGACATATCATGGACTGTTTTCCTGTATATGGAGGGTAACACAGCCTACGGCTAAATCAAGCATAAATTTCTTGCCATTCCTGACGACGAAATTGGACACGGGTTTCAAGCACCAAAAACAAACTGATATTCTCCAACTCCCTATTAGGGTTATGAATACCCATGTTCGGTATTCTCAAGGGAACCTCCGAATCCGCAGGAAGAAAGAGGCAGACAATGCACCTGACTGCATTTGTCCTGTCATATATGACAGGCACGTGTCTTGCAGCTGCATAGCGCAACAAGCGGTAAGAAGATTGGGGAAGAGAGAATCACATCACCCAAGAGACGGAGATGCTCAAGTGGGTGCTTCTACTCAGGTCAAACCCGAATTAGACTAATACCGGGTTGGTTCTCTCCACCGCCTCGAGACTAAATTGTGAGTTTGAGAACCGAATTTGGCGGTGACTTTGACAGCAGCCAGCAACTTTCAATCGTCGGGACTATCGGCCGGATGGGAGGGCCATGTTGGGGAGAGGAGAGTATAGTGAAAGGTATAGAGATTATACCATGAGTACAGTAGCATTGTTATTTGTTAGTTCTGATCTCTTACTATTAATTTTTTTTATTTTTATTTTTTTTATTGCATGAACAGAGTCCCTCCAGGATTGCCAGGCGGGGCACGCAAATCATTCTGTGTTTTTTTTCCCGTTTGGTTGCCAACGCAGCCAAACACCCCACCTGCTGGTCTCTCTTCGGCGCGGCTCTACCTTAACTAATAATCAACTTCAACGCATTCTCTCCCCTCTTTCTTCATCCCACACAACAAATAACCACTTCTATATTCTTCATCTACTCTGACACCCTTTCGCGGTTCACCACCCTACTCACTTCACCCACTTCCCTTTTCCGACCGTTCTCCGTCGTTTCTCCGTTCATCAGTCACTATGGGTGCGCACTCTGCAGTTTGGCAAGGTACGATTGAAGTCACCCGTCCCTTTCCGCTGACTAGTACTTGCTCGAGTCTTTCCCGAGCCGGCATTCTCATGGAATGATGTGGCTAATAGTCCTATCTTTCTGTTCACAGGATATGTCGATTCCAGGTACCGTACCACCCCTAAGACTTTCTCCTATTACCCCACTTCCGCTATTCGAAGCTCTCCCCGACAGCTTTCCACCGTTCAGTTAGCCGGCCATGAATACTGACCACAACCATGCAGCTTGATGGGATCCGGCCAATTTGACAAGGCTGCCATTCTGAGCTACGACCTTTCCGGCACCGAGGCTTACTCTCCCGGCTTCACGGTATGCGACTAGCGAATTCCATGACACTGGATCCCCCGACTCCGTATCCCGCCGGATTCCAATATTCAACTACTAACAACCGTCACAGATCAGCACCGAAGAGCTCCAGGGCCTCGTTGCCGCCTACAAGGATAGTGGTGCGACGATGCAAAATGGTTTCAAGGTCGGCGGAGAGAAGTTCCTCGCTATTAGAGCTGACGACCGCAGTCTATACGGAAAGAAGGTATAATACCCGCTTGCACTCTAGAGACTTGACCGGAGTCTCCATATCGAAAGCATACTAATTCCCGATTAGGGCAAGGAGGGTATTATCGTTGTGAAGGCCAAGTCCTGCGTCATGATCGCCCACCACCCCGAGTCTATCCAGACCACCAACGCCGCAACCGTTGTCGAGAACCTTGTTGACTACATCAACAAGTACTAGACGTTGGTGTGGGAACGAAACGAATGTGTCTTCTTAACGTGTGAAAAAGGACTGTGTCTGCTTTGAATCGATTTACTGGCGGGTCCTCTTCATTTTTACTATAACTCTACCCCTTTTATTCCTTTTATGTTCGCCGTTCGATATTGAGCATCGCTCGTAGATATGTCACATGTGCCATAGGTTCTGATCTAGTACGCAAGAAAGGATTTTCAATTTCCTGTCGTCTCATGGTTAGTTGTCGATAAGCCACAGTATAGTGGTTGGTGAGATATGGTCTGCAGAGCAGGGTTTCTCTTTATCACGTTCTGTACTAGTATGATGAACATGGGTGCCTATTCGCCCAGGATACACTCTTGCATAATGTACACGGCTGAGCTGAATCTGGAGAGCAGTGACCTCTGGCGAACCTGAGAAGAGGAAGACGTAGGATATCACGACTACCGCGGCTCGATCTAGATACTGAATAGTAATGATTCAATCCGAACTGCTTACTGGCAGTATGCCACCGGCTTATCTCGAGAATAGACTTGGTTCTTGCTGCTACAGGATACAAAAGTCACATGTTGAGATTTATACATCGTTGACATAGACTAAAAAAGGCTCAGATTCACAGGTTTCTCCAGGACCAGATTAAACCTCTAGATCTATATTACTTAGTAATAGCATGAGCTAGTTAGTACTAGATTATAGATCGCCCTTGAGTAGATAGAATATCTAAAACATGATGGTTATTGGTCCACTAGATTGGCAGCGTGGCAGTAATATCTCTTGATACATATTTAGCAGCATATCCTATCTTCTCTATCATGCTATATCTCTAAGAAGATGAAAATTCCGATTATAATTCTAGTACTGTACAATACATTACCCTATAGTATTGATGTAACTTGAGTATACTAAGTACTCTCTTCCCCCTCTTCCCTACTAAATAGAGAAAGTATACCAATCTAATAAAAAGGGAACAAGGAATTCATATCTGTCTTTTCATAAGAAATGAATATTTAAAAAAAAAAGCAAACGATGGCAATATCAACAATAATATCGATGTCAATATCCAATATCAATGCCGCGAATATCGGTAATATTGTCAACGGCGATATCGATATTAATCTGAATATAGATGTCAATGCCAACGGCAATATCAATATCAATGGCCAGGTCGATGACAATAAGGCAACTTAAGGGAGTATTCCATAAGATATCATCTGTCGTTGAGCCAAGAAAGAAAAAAAAAAGGAAAAAAAAAAAAAGAAATGGATGAGTGGAAGGGGCTCGTTAATTGTTATAGTGAGATAGCTATAAATTATTTCTTTTTTATGGGAATGGTATGCTTTTCTCTATTGTGCAAGGGAGAAAGTACTCAGTTTGCTGGGGTTACATTATGATGTATATTTGCAATGCTAGGATTGTAATTATTATTTTTCTGTTCAGACATGTTTGATTATGAATAAGATGATACATGCTGCTGGATCGGCATCAAGAGACATTGCCGTTACGCTGCCCATCTAGTGCATCAACAACCATCAGGAGCGGTAACAAGTGTAGTAGTTGCTGGCCCATTGTTCTTTCCTTGCACTCTCCCCAGCCAACAACAACAACAACAACAACCACCACAGAACAAACCATTCTATCACAGGCTCAAAACTGAAAGTTTGCGGTCTCAGAAGTCTTGCCTCCTATGCCGTTCCCGGCTTGATCAATGCTTAAGATAACATTGTTTTCGGGCCTGCGTTCAAGGCTCTCTCTCAGTCCTACCAAGTTATGAATCCGTGAAGCGACTGCTACGGCTGGCGTGGCTTGGAGTACCCAGCTTTTAGAAAGATCGCCTTGCACTCTGGCCAGGGATGGGAACCAGCGTGGTAATCGACCAGATCCAATCACAGTAATCGAGACCGGATAAACTATGCAGAACGACCAGCATGCTTCCTTAATGATCAGTAAGCGGACATGATAGACGTAGCATAGATGCCCCCGTCCGCTCCATATGTAAATCCAGCACGAGAGAGATCTACCATGCTATGGTGCAACATAATCCAGGCTCTCGCCGTCACTTTCTTGGACCCCTGCAGCGTAAGTGCTTAGACTAAAGAACAAAGTTGCTGTACTGCAGCTCAAGCAATACATACTAGTAATCCATTGCTCTACAGAAACTGCGGCGCTAGCTCCACCCCCGTAAGAAGAAGGGCAAAAAAAAATAAATATATAAAAATAAACGAATCCCCTTCTTATACAGGTAATTCAGCATTACTCCTTCCCCCTGCCAAAACTTCCAACGCCTTCTGCAAATACGGGCCCACAACCGGAATATTACCTGCAAACTGCCCAATTGTGATCAGAAAATCACCAAACAGGATAAACAACCCGTATAGCTCGATTAGGAAGCCTGTAAGCGGCCATCGGAGGAGGATGAGGATGATTCCGGCGGTGAATGCAGCCGTGCCTTTTAGTTTCTGGCGTCGGCTGAAGAAGGCTAGGGTTTTTTGGACGCCGATTATGAGCGTTAAGCCTATTAGGAAGAGGATCTGATTTTTTCTTGGTTAGTTTGGTTGGGGTAGGATTAGGGTCGGGGGGAGATGTACGTTTCCCATTGCGAGGCTGTGTGTATCATACATTGTCAGCTTTCTATGAGATTCATTCTGGGGATATCGATGGAGGGAGGTGACATACAGCGAGCGATCAAAGAAGAGAAGGACGCCACCGAAGAGGAAGAGGGCTCCTGTTTTATTGGACTTCTGTCAATTGGTGCGCCTTTTTTTTTTTGTTCTAATGCGTAGATGATGCTTGGTACATACCTCCTGAGCAGAAGATCACCCCAATTTCTGTATATCATGTTAGATTGTGAACGGTGTTTTTGTGCGCGTGACCCATGCTTGCTTACTTTGGTTATCCGAGAGCCACATTATGGGCATTTTGGACTGTTGGTTCGGTGTATGAGGATTATAGTTAAGCGTAAAAGCGTGCGATCTACTAGATAGCGTAGGGAAAGGTATTCATGCCCTTGTGGGAACGCAATTGTTTGGTGATGTTGTGGGCAAGGTACGGAGTAGAGGTCAGGTTCCGGATGGGTCGAAAAGCTAAGTGCACGATAAGATATTGTATTGGTCCGTTTGGGGGTGGGTTTTGGGTCGCGGGCTGGACCACGCGGATATTTCTTCTGGGAGGATTCGTAGAATTGAAACAGGGTTCAGTCGTATTAAAGGGTCATTATTCGTTAATAGAGGTGAGAAAGTAACTATGGATATGTATCGTTTTTAGATTGACAATGTCGATTTATTTGATTTGCTTTTCCTTTTCTGCCACGTCTCCCCTTTTGTCTTAGGCCGGGGCTAGGCGGTTTAGGGAGGCGGTGTACGTGCTAGCTCGGAGTGCGTTTTAACCGCACATTTTTTGTCTTGATTGTGTTACCTTCTTGATTGTTGTTGATATTTGGGAATGTGATGGCCATTGAATAGTCTGTGTTTATTCGATATGCCCAATGCTTTAATTATCTGTTGAGCCAATGTAATGGTACTGCTTGAAACAGTATTGTTGGCTTTTAACGCTGTGCTGTTCTGGTACTGTCCAGATGTCATTTAATGAATGATGGCATCAACAGTTTTGAATTGGACTGGAACTGGTCTATATTTGTATAATCACATCTAGATCCCCTGGATCTCTTCGATATTCCCTTGCCAGCCTTCTGGCTCCCTCATACGCCGCGGCGACAGCATCCCCGGATGCTGTAACTGATGCTCTTGCTCGTGGAGCGTCGGTATTAGTCGAGTGCAACTAGCACAAGGCGAAGAATGACTCTAATATAAAGGTCACGATTAAGCCGGAGCGCTTTCTTTGAACCTGTCTCGAGAGGGGCACGGTGGGTGGAAAGGGCTTGACTGTGATGGCCGGACATTCTACATAGTAGACCAATTCATAGCATAGCATCTGCAATGCATTAGCCTTCTTCATACCCAAACTCACTAATTCAGCCATCGTAGCTCACCTCGCTTGAGAGACAAATTCACTTAAAACATCACTTGCTATCACAAACCTAACACCCATTACTTGAGAACCACATGCGCCGCTCTCAACTCAAGGTAACTTTCTGGCACACCCTGCGTCAGAGACCGGACCACCCCAAAGACCTCCTTATCATGATACCTCAGCCGAGTCTTGGGATCCGTATACGGAGCCGGCAACCCCGTGATATCGCAATACCTCGTCTGCTGCGACGGGTGCAGCGACGGCGCCGACTCGATATTCGTATACGTCACCGCCGGCCCTGACGAGTACATTGCCCGTGCGTTTTTCTCTAGGACAAGCGTGGAGAGGTTCTGTGCTGCTTGCGCGATGTTCGTGCGTTGGCCCCCGTCTGCGGGCGTCTGACTGCCGTCTGTGCTGGCAGAGGTGGTAGCTACCAGAGGCGTCGTTGCGCCGGAGTTGGCTTGCGTGGCCATCTGGGAGGCTTCTTTGCGGGAGCTCTCGGAGATTAGTTGCTTGACGTTCTTGTTGCGCCGCTGGGAGGGCTTCCAATGAGGGTTGCGGAAGGGGCGCGGGACCTGTGCGATGTCGAGTTGGTTGAGGAGTTGTTGGTGACTTTCATTTTCAGCGGGGGTGAGAGGTGCCATTGTGGTTGAATTTTGTGTTCTTTCTTAGTTGGTTGATTTTGGTGGCAGGAGGTTAGATGTCGAGTTGCTCGTCGGTGCGGAAAGGCGAGATCGTGAAGCTTGGGAGATGGTCTGGAGTGGAAGGTCTAGACAAGGATTGGTCTATATTGGTGAATCAGGACACAACAACTTCTATAACAGAGAAGCTGGATGTGTTGTCAGGATAATATGGCAATACAGTACAATTAGATTATATTAAAATATTAGTTGAGTATAAAATATGAAAGACTGATATAATGCTTCAGATTTGGCTCGCTTTACTCTTAGAACTCTAAGCCACGTGATGCACCGCATTGGGCAGTATTGATGGGCGAGCACAAACAAACACCAGACCAGCACTCTATTCATAACACTACCTATAGAATACCAGGAATCATGGTGGGCTTATCGAACCTAGACCTATAGAGATAGGTGCAGTACTGATGCGAACTCTGTAGGAGAGCCCACACGAGCACCAGCAAGCGGTGATTCTCTCACGAATCATCAATAATGTTGTATGTTACTTGTGGCCATCGTAAATGTACTAGTATCGATACTGATAGCTGGACAGGAAAAGCTAAACGAGGCCGTCATGGTCATGAACAAGAGCCTTCAGGTATGTCAATCTCGTTTATGGCCCTGATGTTTTGCTAAGAAATACATTGCAGGAAGTCAATATTCAGAACATGAATGTGGAGCTTGTGGCGCAAATGTTCAAGAACTACCAGTCTAATGTGCTGTTTCATTTGGAAGGTACTTATTCCTTTTCGCTATCTTATGAACTTGGACTAATCAGATTAGCTACCGAGAATTTGAAAGAGCCGTCGCAAGGCGAGTGATTGTTCAATGCGTTCTTAGTACACATGATGGGATATGAGATCAATCATGATAAAGACATGAGATACCACAAGGAGTAAATGTTGGGAAGGAAGGCTACTGGGATTGATTTTAGTGTAAGCTTTATTTAAGACAATATATTCAAAGGACTTTTTTTTTTATATTTCTTCTCTTTATACAATTTAGATGGACGGAGTAGACCTGCAGAAACATAGTGAGAATGATGTCTTGGCACCATACAAAGACCGACAGTGGCTCTTCCGTCCACTGCGCCGCCGCCGTTCAAACCGGGGATCTTAAACTTCACATTCTTCCATCCTGGGGCAGTGACGCCAAAAGTCTCTAAATCGACTTTGATACCCCAATCAAGTGCAGACCACCTCACTTTCGAAGCCTCTCCATTGATCTGTCCGCGACGCCCTGCAATGCGGTGAACCGTATCCCCGGAAGCTCTAACGTTGCCCTGGTTGATCCCACTTCCACGTCGCCATGACTATCACGTCAGTACAAGCGGTTCTTCCTGGCCGCTTCGCGATCAACTCGACTGAGAAGAGTGCCGCGAAACCACCTCCGAAGGTCTATAATGCCCAAGAGCCTCCTTTCAAAGGCTACCATGCCCCACAACCAGATGGCTATCAGCGGAGCAGGTCAAAGCCCGACACAAGCGCTATCGTGATTGACAATGGTGCGTTGACTTGTCCTTCTAGTCCCCGACCTATTTATGCATGCTGATATCTTGGTTTCCTTGACAGGCTCGAATTTGGTCAAAGCCGGATGGTCATTCGACAAGAACCCCCGTTTCATCCTTCCCCCGGTGATGAGTCGGTACCGCGACCGGAAGCTCAATAAAGCGTGTCAATTTATCGGATATGATGCCTACGTCGATGCCACTACGCGCGGCCAGCTGCGCTATGCGTTTGATCCTGGTAGCAGCGTTGTCGGTAACTGGGATGTGATGGAAGGGGTACTAGACTATCTATTCCTTAAATTGGGAGTTGATGGCGCCAATGGTGGCGTCGACAGACCTATAGTCATGACGGAACCGATTGCGAACCTCAATTACCCCAGAAAGAGTGCGTCAGGTCCCTCTATTTATCCCGCCATGATGTCGTCCCCGCTGACACCTTTCTAGTGATGAACGAAATCCTATTCGAGTGCTACTCTGCGCCTTCAGTCGCTTATGGAATCGACTCCCTCTTTTCTTACCGGTACAATCGTGGAACCGATGGCTTGATTATCTCTTCGTCCCATACATCAACGCACGTTATCCCTGTCCTAAATAATAAGGCTCTACTTTCGAACTGTTCGCGGCTCAACTGGGGTGGAATGCATGCGTCGGAGTACCTACTGAAGCTGATGAGACTGAAATACCCGACTTTCCCTGCCAGAATGACCGAAAGCCAGATGGAAGACCTGGTTCATAAGCATTGCTACGTGTCGAAGGACTACGATCAGGAACTGAGTAAATACTTGGATTGGACGGGCCTTGAAGATAGGGATCTTGTTGTTCAATATCCATTTACGGAACATGTTGTGCCAGAGAAATCAGAGGAAGAACTGGCGCGGATCGCAGAGCGCAAGAAAGAGAGCGGACGTCGACTGCAGGAACAAGCAGCCAAGATGCGGCTGGAGAAGCTCATGAAGAAAGAGCAGGAGCTCGATTACTACAAGGATCTCCAAAACGGTCTGCAGTCGGAGACTAAGAAGGAGGCAAGGCGCATCTTGGAGGCTGAGGATCTGAAAGACGAAGCACACCTCGAACGGATTATCCGGGATTTAGAACGCTCTATCAAGCGATCCAGGAATAGGGACCTCGGAGTGGAAGAGAGCGAAGAGCCCGCGGAGGAAATGTCGTTCCCCTTGCTGGATGTACCGGACGAGGAACTGGACGAGGCTGGTTTGAAGGAGAAGCGCCATCAGCGACTTATGAAATCCAATGTCGAGGCCCGGCAGCGCGCGAAGGCAGAGAAGGAACGGGAGAAGGCTCGGCGGGAAGAAGAGGAACGCCTTGACCGGGAGAAGCGCGAGAACGACTTTGAGGGCTGGCTCTCTGAACGAAGGGCTAACCGACAGGTGAGGACGCACGACGGAGAATTCTACAATACTGCTGCTAACTGTTCAATAGAACATCTTGCAAAGAATCAAAGAACGTGACAGGTTAAAGGCAGACCTTGGTAACCGCAAATCGTTGGCGAGTCAGATGCGCATGAAGACCCTTGCCAACCTCGCTGCGGATGGCCCCAAGAAGCGAAGACGCGGCGGCGATGACGACGACTTCGGTGCTAATGACGAAGACTGGGGTGTCTACCGTACCGTGGCCACCGGGGAGCAGAGTGACGAAGAAGAGGAAGAGGACCTCGGCGGAATGCTCGATGTCGTCGAAAAGGAGCTTCTCGAACACGATCCTGAATTCACGGAGAACCACACCCTTGCTGCACAGTCCGACTGGACCAAGAGCCTTGTGCATGTATTCCTACGGGGACCTTGGCCATTCGACCCGGAAAGTCAGCGGGAGGCTCATCAGTTGCACCTGAACGTCGAGCGGATCCGAGTGCCCGAGGTTGTGTTCAAGCCGTCCATCGCAGGTATTGACCAGGCCGGTTTGGTCGAGATCGCCGCGGACATTGTCAACCAACGATTCATGAACCCGGAGGACCAGTCTCGGTTATTGCGCGATGTTTTCATGACCGGTGGCAATACGCTCTTCCAAAACTTCGACGAGCGCTTCCGCAACGACTTCCGGGCCTTCCTGCCCCTTGACGCCGAGCTCAACGTGCGTCGTGCCAAAGATCCCGTTCTCGATGCCTGGAAAGGAGCGGCGCAGTGGGCTTCTGGTGCCGACCTGGCCAAATCATCTATCACGCGACAGGAGTACCTCGAGAAGGGCAGCGAATACCTCAAGGTACGTTCTACACCGATCTACTAATACTACCTCGAGTGCATCACATTGGCTAACTAAGTCCCAGGAACATGATCTGGGGAACGTAACCACGTGGTAGACACGTTAATAAGATAGGAGATATGATAACCTAGTTCTTACAATCACGTTGTCGTGCTTTACAATAGTAATGTATGTTAGAGAACCGACCCAGCTGATTGGCGTCCGGCGCAAGAAACAGCTCCATCATCTGACAGCAAGTACGTTGCACCATTGGCCAGGGAGCTCGTATAGCGGCCTTGGAATCCATGGTGCGAGGCACAAAAGAAGGAAATTGGTTCCATGAAGAAAATCCAGGAGTCTGGCGCAGGGAAAACAATTAACTTGTACAGATATGAAATTAATTGGATGCGGTTGTCTTGTATTCACTTTCGTTTCATTCCCACATAAGCAGAACTGCTGTTCCATGGGTGCCGTCCATGCCGCTATCCATCCCATTCATTCAAGATCTGGTATACAAGAAGTCTCCTTACATTAGGTATAATCCCCGGATGAAATTACCCCATATCCCTACAGACGGAACCCCACAAGGGATGTGGGAATTTGGGATCATTATAGACATGTCATATCTCGTTTAAGAGAGACATCCATCCCTCCGTCTATCATGGTCCCCTTACGTCTTACTCCCTTGATATAGTAATGAAACAAAGAGTAAGGACTACATGGTAGGTCAAACTTTTGGTAGATTTAATTCTGGATTGAATTTAGTAGATGTGTTTTGTCTTGATTTGTTTTGATGAACTTTCGTTTATCGGGTAATTTCGTCGGGGGAATATTTTGCGATGTAAGGAGGACGAGGTTATTTTGTGGTGGTGGTATACCATACAGAGTATAATTTGAAGGGAAAAAAAAAAAAAAAAAAAAAAAAAAAAAAAAAAAAAAAAAAAAAAAAAAAAAAAAAAAAAAAAGAGAGAGTGAGAGAGAGAGAGAAAGGAAAGGGATCAATACTAAACCGACTCAATGTACACGGTACAGCCTCAGGCAGCGATGCTTCACATCACCGAGTATGATTGGACCAGCACAAAGATTAATATTAGTGATACTTGAACAAAGGAAGAAAAAAGAAAAGTGAATGGCCACATGAAAGTAAGACGTCATAGAAGGCAACCCGACAACTCACAATCCCATACATGCATCAAGAAAAGTCTAGAGCAGCGACCGGGACAATAAGAACGGGATTTTTAGTCACAAGGATAATTAGTGCAGTGGATTATAAACAAGTGGATTAACCCGTCACGAAAAAGAATACCCTTCAGCCTTGTGGGTCTGAGCCCGAATCGCAGACGTCTTCTGCTTTTTCTCTATCGCCTCGGAGAGATTTGCTCGAGCAAGGATGGGAGGGTGCCGACCGTTCCGACTTGGGCTGTACACATGATCGCTTTCGAGGGGATAGAGGAGAGTATACTCCGTAGTAAGTACTTTGTTATGACTAAAAACCGTGTATGGGTAGACTTTGCTACTAGTGACAATTGGCGCATCGACCGGTGCCGATCTTCAGGAGCCGTTTAGCGCTCGAAGCTTCAATAGCTTCCTGTCTGGTAAACCGGTTGTTGGGTGGGTTTCCCATGACGCATTGGGCGTGTGGCGTGGTTACGGTCTTAGAATCCGATTTGATTGAGACCTTTTGTTCGATAGCACGGAGGGATTAAGAAATCGGGATCTGGACGGCCAGTGGCCAGACCAGACCACGACCAGGGCCCCAGTCAGATGTCCTGGCTTTTGGTTAACCTAAGCAAGACGGCGATCCTTGTGAGGTACACCGGCAATCCCTTGGAACTGCAAAGATTTTCTTGGTTGGGCTCTGTAGTTCGTAGAAAATTCGGCTATGGGGTGACATGATCATGTACTAAGTACGGAGTACATATTGGTCAGTTAGGGCTGAGGGTGGGTAGCGAGACCACCTCGTGAGGGGAAAGCCGAAGGGGAAAAGGAAAGATTCCCTTTCATTCTTGAGGATGGAGTACAGTGCCATAAACAATTATACCCTATAGTCCACCGCTATTATCATATGTTGTGCGGGGTGCATTGGTTGTGTAAGGCATGACTCTCCTTTCTGATTATCATCGTCCTTCCATATCGGGGCCACCAAATAGACATTCCCGCATGAGGATCATCAGAACCCGTGCGTACATAGACATAGTAATCACGCCGTGAGCGTCTCGGAGTAAATATCCAGAGCGTTTGCAGATCGGCCATAACTCGGACTCGACCTTGAACCTGAAATTTGAGGTTTAGTCATAGGAAAACAAAAGTCAAGTTAGTTAGTTGGCTATTTGATGGAATGGAAGAGAAGCGAAACCCGAACATCCGAAATCGACACTTCGAGACCGAGGATCACGGGAGGGTCAGCTGCCTTGACTTTGGTCTTCATGCTAAACCCGGACGGGATTAGTGGGTAACCTGACAAAATGAAAGTCTACAACAACCTCAACCTTTGAACCCTTTTGAATTTCTCGCTAAGTCTAATTCATTTGACTTTTCTTGTCTGATCTGACTTTTTACCTCATGTATTATCTAAGATGGACGTGTTCATTTGACGCAACATGTGCATTCCGCGGGCTGCCGACTGGCTCAGTCCACCCGCAAACGAGACCATTCCCTTTGAAGTTATACTATGAAAAATGGACTGCCAAAAAGTCATGCAACGATTCCCCCTCCCGAACCATGGACTGATACTCGGCACCCTCCTTACTCTGGGTTTCTGCGTTCTGCAGATCATTGTCCACTGGGGCCCATGTATCCAACTCCCTAATCTCCACCCCCTCTGGTGATCATCCCTGCGTATGTGATGCCAGGATGCAGATGGGCGGCTTCGAGAGATACCGCCCAGACAAGGATTAGCTGCAAGTCCTACGTTGTAAAGCTGTCGGTGTCACTGAATCAACAAGGTCCCTGATTGGCGAACATGATCTGTGGATCAACCGTGGTCTAGTTTTTCGGTCCATGTTGTGATAACCACTCGCCAAAAGTTTACTTCATGCAGAGGAAATTATGACGCATCTGGGGAAAACAACAGCAGCCAGGTAGCACTTCCATACTAGGTAATTCTATTTTGCTTTTTTTTTTGTTTTGTCCCCTCTTTGGGCGTCTACCCTCCCTTTCGACAGGGAGGGAAAAAAAAATTTCAATGGAGTTTCCCACCGTGGATCCTCGATAGCGGCCGCCGCCACGATTCGAGAATTCTGACGCAAAAGTATGCAGCCCGTCGGTTGGCTCGGGTGTGATGTTATGTGATTGATGCCCATTACACAGTAGCCCTGTAGATATAAAGCCTGGTCCTGATCGCTCTCTACCTGTGGTTTTAATCCATCAATCATATCAGCCTGCCACACTAGGAGAGTTCGACTTTATATACTTCAGTTCATCCACCACTCTGACTGTACTATTTGCCAATACATACGTACATACATCTACATACAAATCAAGACAACAATATGCTTTCGAGTACGCTCACACGTCCGCTGCAGCTCGTCGACCGAGTGCTGCAGTGGTCTAGCGCTGTCATTGTGATGGGTATCACTTCCTACTTCATCAACAAGGGTCCCCGTGGGTTGTCTATCACGTACCAAGAAATCATTGTATGTCTCCCATTCCCACATCCATGGCCTTTAACTAATGCCGCGAGCCACAGTCTACCATGTCGGTCGTGTTTTTCCTGCCAGCCTTCGTCTCTCCGTTCATGCCCACAGCTCTTGGCAAGTTTGTTCTGGCCATCGATGTTATCTTCTCGTATCTGTATGCAATGGCCCCCATTCCCTACCCACAAGTACAACATACTGACCAAATTACTTAGGTGGCTCACTGCATTCATCTTCGCCGCTCAAGACTACAACCGCCACGACTGCCGCCTCAACGCTCCCCCAGGGATCTCCTGCTCCAAGAAGAGGGCCAACGAAGCATTTATCTTCCTGACCTTGTAAGCCATCCAACTTCCATCAATAATACTCCTAGACACTAACAAAAATCCAGCATCTTCACCTTCTTCGGCATGATCATCGAAGTCCTCAGTCTCTGGGCCTACCGCCGCGAGAATGTCCCGGTACGTGAAAAGACCGGCGGTGCTCACGGTGGACCCGCCGATGCCCCAGTCGCTACGGTTTAAGCGTCAACTGCTCTGTCATCCTCGATCAAGTACAGACAAGGCGGACGGGCAAGACAATGCACGAGAACGATTCACGATACCACTAAACGGGTTTCCCATGGCATGCACTACGCATACGTAATAATATACCTATCATGAGTGACGAGATGCCAATCTACTTGCGGTGTATTGGCAAGGGGAGAAGTATGGATGTCATAGATGGATGATGAGGTGGTGGGGGGTATACTAATATTTGTAATTTCGATATCCGGATAGTTCATGTGACATATTTATATTCTATCATTTTACACTCATTCTAATATACGCTCTATTGCACCTGATCTTTGGATCTTCACACATATAACAATGATTACTCAACTATCATTATCCATGGTGGGTCAGGGTCAACCTTGGGTCATGCACCTGTCATAGATCAAGCTACCCGATTCATTCTTCAACGTGATGTCACCATGTTGGTTCTAGGTAATGTGGTAGTTTGGGTTACTATGGAACTTTAGCTTTTAGATTCTCCATACAGAGTCAAATGAAACCCCGATAACTGTGTACTCATATCTTTTCTCAACCTACTGAATTGTCAGAAGCTTAGAACTGTCGTGGCAAAAATATCACCGCCCGTCTCAGCACCCTGGCTGGTACTTTGGCTACTTGGCGCGGGGCATAGGTTTTTTTGGCCTGATGCCCCTGCGTGCTTTTATCACCTTGTTCAAGATTTGTTGGTTGCATGTCAAGCACGTGGATGTATAGTCGTGACCTCGAAAGAAGGCTAATAACCTCTACAATTATAAATAGATCCAGTAGATCCAAATCAGCTGATTCTTTCAACCAGTCATATAGTCCTCGATAGTTTCAGGATATTGAACAAGAACTTTTGACATCAGTTCTGACACCAGACTGCTTGCGATATCCCACCCTCCGAGCTCGCTAAGCCCTTTGCTCCCTTACGCAGAGTACACCACGGATGAACTAGCGTCCGTTGTGCCTTCTGCATATGATGGCAACCTTTTAGTTCAAATCTGTCCTGCTCATATTGTCGATAGCCCTTGCGAGTCCCCTGATCTTGGGTGGTGTCTATACTAGATCTTACACCACGGAGGCGACGGTGAAGGTGCTGCCTCGAGAACTGCCTTTGTGGTTGCTTGAGAGCGCAAAACCCAAACTTACAAGCGCTCTAAAACAAGACCGCATGCTATATCTACACTGAGCCAGAACACTCATTCCCCCCTTGAGTGTTTCTTTGAGCTGATGACAGTTGAGAATGCCGATGATTTCTATGAGGTGGCAGGGGAGGACTTTGAAATGGTCAATCGGCGGTGCTGGAAACTTTCTGGGAAACGTATATTTTCCTTTTTCACGGGTTCGGGGCTAGAGACCTTTGGGTTAATAGAATACGATGTTCATCGTCCAGACAGGCGCGTCAGTTTAGCGGTAGCTAGGGTTATACCTCCGGCGCTGCTCTGTACTGTCATTTATGCCTCCTACGCTATTTAAAAAAAACCCACGAGACAGTCATTGTGGAGATGTCCTTATGCTCGCCTGTGGTATATCACAAGTTCCAGTACTTCGGGAACTCCCGGTTTCAGTTTCTCTACTTTTTCTTTTCTCTTTTTTGTCCTGTTTACTTTATCCTTCTTGTTCATCGTCATTTGTTATCTTCCTCGTGGTTATCTTCATTTTCTCCATATGATCGTCTCATTTTCGATTCGCTTTTGTACATGTCCCGACTTGCCGAATGGCCCAAAAGCTCACCAAATTCATATATACCCAACAGTGGGAGTGGGCACTAGTGATCGTAATTCTGGAGTTTAATTTGCGGTATAGGGTGTGTTACCTAAGAGCAAAGCGGAAATACGTATATAGCTTTCTTAGTCAATTGAATGTAAACTTCCATAACTGATAATAAGAAAATCTAAAGTATGGTAGATATGTCAGGGTGTATAAGCCCTAACCTATTACTGGGCTAAACCCAAAACCTCGAACATACAAGCCCTCCTGTAGAGGACGGGGGTTTCATCAGGGGGTTCCGGTCTAAAATGAGTAGGCACTTTGGCCTGATAGTGGTGGGCTGAAGGACAAAATCTAAGAAATCCGGAGCCGGTCCACTGGGCTACGTATGAATCAATATATCTTATTGAAGATCTCGTTTCGATCAGTAATGATATTACTAAGACTCCATATACGAAAACAGTGTCATGGGCAGCGTGGTACTCACTGAATCGAACCTCATATAACCTGGGTAGCTGGGGTATTGTAGAGAAAATGTAAATGATACGAAGCCATATATGCTGTTCAATATAGGTACGATGTATGATAACAACATTATGGGTTCCGGATTGCTGGTTGGGACATTATATTAGATGAGAAAGCATATCTCTGATATGTATAATAGCAGTGAATTAACCGTCTATGACGGATAAACTGTATGTACTGTATCCTTCTATCTGCCAAGTCTATCGTATCCAAAGTCAATGGTGAACGCTGTTGGTATAGTGCGGGGCGCTTGCTCTAGATACAAAAAATGCTGGTCCAATAGGCACAAAGAATGTTTAATCTGGAGATAAAATCCTCAAAACTCCATTCGCTGTTTCAAATTCGTTATTCGTGATAAAGTAGCTTGGCAATGGCGATAACAGAACTTAGATGCTTGCTCGCCGAGGCGCCAAGGTACGTTGTAGCTTCTTTTTCTCTTCTGTCTCCTCCGGTAACGGCAAGGATCCTTCACTGCGGAGTTTCTCTAGATACTGCTTGCCATATGCGTAGCCTACCTGGTAGATCTCATCGAATTTACCGAACTCGAGGGTTCCGTATGGGTCGATGGGAGGGCGCATATACAGACAGCCAGGTGTGTTTTTGGCCCGTTCTAGATTGTCGATCGATGACACATAGGCGAGTCGTGCTTGGATTTCAGACAGTGTGGGAGGGTTGGGGCAAGCGGAGAACGGGTTCCAACGGTTGAGCACGGTCCAGAACCCGGATAGCGAATCACCGTACCCTTGAGGCGTGTTGTCATCGATTGAGCCCACATCGACGGCAAAAATCACATCGGCCCCAAGTCCCTTCATGTGGGCCACTGTAAGGTTGTCGATGTACCCGCCGTCAAGTAGCATGCTGCCCTCGTCGCAAATCGGGGGAATTAGACCGGCCAATGACATTGATGCACGCACGTAGCGCCAAGTATAACCCGACGAGTGGAATTCCGGCCGTGATTTGCTGATGTTGGTGGTGTTGCAGTAGTACTCCAGCCAGAAGTCCTCGATCTGGCTATCTCCAAACGTCTTGAAGATGCCCCGGTTGAACTCATGGCCAGTGGTGTAAGAGGTGGTAGGATACGTTAGATCCAGCATAAACCGCCACATGCTAGCCATGCGCCCGGCAAACTTCTTCGCTCGACCATACATGGGGACCACATCCGCATCCCGTGCATACAAAGCTCCAATGAATGAGCCGATAGATGTACCGCCAATGATATCAATAGGGATCCCGGCCTCTTCCAGTGCTTTGATGACGCCAACTTGGGCGATACCTCGAGCTCCTCCGCCACCAAGGACGAGTCCAACGGACCTGCCACAAAGTCGGCGAGCCAGGCGATGGAAGTCGCCCTTGAACGGGGTTTGTGCCGAGTAGAGAGGAGTCTGGCGAATTCGCCGCGATGTGTATTTTTGAATTTCTGCCTGGATAACCTGAACTCGTTGTTTCAGAACAGCTCCAAGTCGTTTCGCCTGAGGATGTGAGGGCTCAGGGGTTAAACGGAAGCCCATCTGAATATGATGGTGGCCTCCGTTGATCCACATCCGGTTCTTTAGCCATTGGCGCGTCAGTCCGGGAGGGCAGTACCGCTCGGAATGTAGCAACACAAGTTCTTTCCTAGCCGTTGTCTTCATCCCAAGTAGAAATCTTTCATACTCGCCGATACTGGGTGACGACTCGGCAAGACCAACGAGCAGAATGCAATCGGCTTGCGTGATGCAGGTCTGCGTCCATGGAGAATTCACGTTGGTGTCTGCGATATAGAGCACCATTCCATACTTTTCCTCGAGGTCTGCCAAATACTGGGACAACTTTAATTTCCCCATCTTGCTGAAAGCATGTCGTCCGAGATGGTTCAGGATCGCCGCTTGGTTGAGGGAGGTAACGCCGTTCGTCACGCCGATCTGGTGAAGTGCGTTCTGCAGGCGATGGCCAAATTCTACCACGGGAACTCCAGCCGTTACGGGGAGTATACCAACGGTGCGGAGATTTACCACAGAGGCGGCGGTCTTGACGCTGCCAGCGTTGGCATGCTCACCACCCTTTTCGGACATGGGAAGCTCGACGAGATCTCGCATCCGCTGGGCAATGAGCTTAGAGACCTGGATAGTAATTCCCGGGTGCTCTTGGGCAAGGCTGTTGAAAAGCGATCGCGGGAATTTGGCTAGCTCAGTATCCCGAATGGCGTGTAGAGTTGCTGGACGTGTCGACTCTGTCATGACCTCTAGCTCCCCAACGCTTTCTCCCTGACCATATTCACCAAGGACTGTAATCTTGCCATCTGTACCTTCGAGAACAGACCGTAGACGCCCGTTTAGGACAAGATAGATTGCATCACTCTCATCCCCCTGATGATAGATGACTTGGCCTGCACTTACTTGCACCCATTCTAACGCGAAGTCGATGTGAAGAAGCAAACGAGGAAGAAGACTTGTCAGTCGCTTTGCCAGAGTTAAGAGCGCGATAGGGTAACGCTCGGCGATTCTCTCCAAGGATGACCTTGGAAGGAACCCGACATACACATCTGTTTTTGCCACCACGTCCGTATAGGACCTGTAGGAAGCAACGGATCCGACGTATCCTTGAATACCACCAGGTTTGATAAGATAGAGCGACTTTCGCGACTGCCTTCTCCGCTTGGTATCATTTGTGGCGCTCGTCACACCCGAAACGCGAGAGGAGCTGGTAGTCGTCCGCTTCAAGGTCGGAAAAAATTCCTCATGTGGCTGGCCATATGCTGGTCTCGAACCGCCCAC